TCCTTCCCTATCCAGTATTGGCACCACACACAAGGATAGGAATCCCTAGCATGGCCAGCCACAAGGGATAAGGGATAGAGGAGAATTTTGGTTCGAAATTCAAATTGGAGATAGAGATTTGATTCCTTCTAGAAGTTTGACTCTACTCTATAAATAAGAGAATAGTAGAAAATTGTGGACACAATTTTTTGTGACAATTTTTGAGACAATTTTCAGAATTAATTTTTTCCCTAATTTTAGAGGTGGTCGAAATTCCCTAATAGAGAGAAGGAAAAATTTTTCTCCAAAAATTCCACATCGTGCATGCGATGGTGTTTGTGAAAATTTGAGTGTTTATTGTAACCCGTTTTGTCTCATGTGTGCCACACACACGTCTTCGTGGATTCTAGGAATTGACGTGAAAGACATTGGTTTTCTAAACACAAAGATTAGAGCAAGGACTATTCATGGTCAAAGAACTCAAGTTATCATCCGAGTCGGCTTCCAGGTATTTTTCCTGATTGAGTTTTTAATAAATGAATTAATGAGATTAATTTATTCATGCATAAATTAATATATTCTATAGAGTATCTCAAAAGTTTTATGAAAATTTTTGTTATACACGATCCGCCTCTTCCCCCTTCCCACCATCACGCTTCCGCATCCGAATTCGATTCGGAGACTAACAGGCCAACCTCAGGGAGACAGGGCTGCTCCTTTCCCTTTCAGATCCTGCAAACCTCCCAGTTGTTCAAGAGTTTTTTCACCTTAACGTAGAAGGCAAATCTTTTAGTCTCGACCTCCTTCTTGATATGATGCCAAGTCGCCCTTTTTTTATAACTTTTGTTCATCTACAGAAATGGCCTCTCTGAACATTTAGCTCCTTTTGGGCAGTTGACCTAAGTTGAAGGAGAAAGCCAGTGCTGGCGCTTCCTCTTTGGCCCCGAAGAAGAAGAGGCCTTCTGAGGGCGCTTTTGGGTCTACGTCGGAGGCATCTGCACTGAAGAGGGTATGTCAGGAAGAAGTGTGGGTGACCGGGGGGGACTTGGATGTCGGTGGTTCCCATTCCTGATGTTGCCTAGGTTCCTTCTCCACCTAAGGGTCGCCTCCTGCTTCCCGAGGCGAAAGTTATGGACCCGAACTTCCAGGTCCAGGATATCTCCGACGCCCAAGTCGAGGCGATACTAGATCTTTCTCCTCACTTTTCCTTGGTTTTTCAGGCCCTGTATGAGTCATTTTTTGACAAGCATTGGGCCACCACCTCCAGGTCATCTCTAGTCGACCGTCAGTGCAATCAGATATCCTTTCAGATCCACTTGAGCGTTGATCGTTTATTTTAATCTACTGTATATTCATCATTCCTTAGAACTTCTGACCTATTTTCAGGGTCTTGTCCTTGCCGTCCTCAACCTTATAAATTTGGTTAAGATTGAGGAACGTGGCAACGAGATGGATAGCCTGGAGGCAAACTCACATCTCTCCTCGACGCTACGAAGTCTGAGTGCTCAATTGTTACCGAGGAAAATAATGTGCCCGTGGCCAAATTGGCGAGTTTCTAAGAGGAACTGAATCGATTAAAGGCTCAGGCCGAAGAGACTACAAAATGAGTGGAGGTAGCTGAGAAACAAGTGGCCGAGGCTAAGGAGAAATACTTTGCCGAGGGGAAAGCAGAAGACGAGAAGGGGAAGAAAGAGGCGGAGCTCGTGGCAGTTGAAAATTATCTGAACTTGGAAGACTTTGCCGCCAAGCGCGAGGAAATTGTTGAAGAGTTCATGGCTTCTAAGGAGCTTATTGAAATCCGAACAAAGGATTTTCAATACGCCGAGGAACAAGTAGTAGAGCTGATCAAATGACACCACTTTGAGTAGGGTTTGAGTTTCATGTATGATCCTCCTCCTTCCGTAGACAGTGACGGCTCTTCTCAGCCCGGCAGTAGAGATAGCTCAGCTGGTGATGGCGGGAATTGAGAGCCTTCTTCCTGTATTATTATTTTTTTTGTTGAGACAATAGGTTCTCAGCCCACCAACTTGTATATTTTTTTTATTGATATACAACGCATTACTACCTTCATTTTCAGATCTTCTATCGTTAGTGCCCTTTAGTGCTTGTGTTTTAGTAGATTTCTTAAATCTACCAAATGATTGCTTCTTCTCCTTAGAGATGTCGGCGTTTGAAATGCCTCTTGGGTTTATCGCTTTAGCAAATTTCTAAAAATTATGTTAAGTAATCGTCTCTTCTCCTTGGAGAGGTCAACGTTCCAGATGTTTAAATGCCCTTTAGGGTTGGCAAATTCCTTGAAATCAGCCAAGTTATCGTCTCTTCTCCTTTGAGATATCGACGCTTAACTCTTTTTTTTTGTGGTTTGTAGACCCCTTGTGCCCCTATGTAAGTCTGAAAACCTTAATTTTTAGGCAGACATGTTATTAAGGGGTCGAGCTCTTCGTGGTCTTTTTGAACACTTGTCATGAAAGTTTTTCATTTATTCTATTGAAATGCCAAATACAACTAAAATGTGTAAGAAATCATACATTATTGGTAGTACAGTTTTAGTTGCTCTGCATTCCATGGGTGTTGGATCCTCTTGTCGGTGAGGCTTTCCAAAATGTAGGTTCATGGGCGTAGCATTTCTCTTATACGGTAGGGGACTTCCCATGTTGGGCCTAGACGACCAGTATTTTTGGGTTTAGTGCTCTGTGTGGCCCTTTTAATATCAAGTTTCCCAGGGCGAATCTTCTTCGTCTGACTTTCTTGTTGTAGTATCGGGCTGTTCTTTATTGGTAGGCGGCGAGTCAAAGTTGAGAGTTGAGCCTTCTTTCTTCTAACAGATCGAGCTCTCCATTCATTATTTCGACATTTGTGTTGTCTTCGTAGGCGACCGTTCTTAACGTCGCCGTCTTAATTTCTACAGGGAGCACTGCCTCGACTCCATACATCATAGAGAATGGTGTTTTGCCTGTTGTAGTTCGACTGGTCGTTCTATACGCCCATAGGACCTTCAGAAGTTGCTCAGCCCATTTTCCATACATCATAGAGAATGGTCGCAGATTCGAGTTTTTAATTCGAGCTGAGATGTGACATTTTCTGAGAGCTTTTCACTGTAGCAGAAAAAGTTAGATGTGACATTTTCTGAGAGCTTTTTACTGTAGAAACCTAAAACTGAAAACTCGAATCGGTGAAATGAATGAGGCCTTAAATTTCAAACTTAAACCTATACTCAAATTCAAACATATAAGGTACATTTAATTCGCTGATTCAAATTTTTAATTCAAGTTGAATTGTTACTTTATATTAAAGCTTTTTATTGTAATAAAAAAGTTAAATGTGATTATTTTTAAGAACTTTTTACTGTAACAAAAATTAAATTTTAAATTTAAATTGATAAAATAAACAATATCATAATTCTACTATAGTTTAAAACTCTTATAAAAAATTTAAATTTTAAACATCAAAATAAAAAATTATGAGTTTAAAATACTCTCAAATGGGCCATAAAAACCATTACTACTGTCAAAACAGTGGTTTGGCTTCGTTAATAAATACCAAACCATTTTTCAAAGAAGAAAAAGGTCACAATACAATATTGGCAAAACAGTATGAACTTTCTACACCCAATGATGAAAAATAGCATAACACAATAATATAATATGCCTAATAATAATAATATATACCGTATTTGTACAGCTTAGGGTTTGTGTTGGCCTTGTCATGGGTTGTGGCTTGGTTTTTGGCGGTGATGTTGTTCACCACTCTCCAGATCTTACACCTTGGCTTTAGATAAATCCCCAGTTCCACCTTCCCCCTTGTCGGGACTTTCACATATTGACGTGTCACCGCTGACCAACTACTCTCCATGCGCACATTAGCACACCCACAGCACCACACCCTATCTTTCTCACTGCACTCTTCCAATCAGAAGTGACCACGTCCTCACAAAAGGGTAATTTCGTAACTTACTTTAAATGGTGAAATGGGAACGAGCGTAGGGAATAAAAAGCTCAACCCAACTTGGTCTTGGTGCTCGGAACTTGTACATTGGTAATAGAAAGTAGTACAACCCAAAAGGCAGAAACCGTTTACCAGAGGGAGACAAGACGAAACCAGTTTCTGCAAAACCACTTTTTTAAATTTTTTTTTTTTTAATTTTCCTGGTTTTCTTTTACATAGATAGATTACATACCAGATATGTACACAGATAAATTTATAAATAGATATACAGTACTTGTACAATATATGTAAATAAATATATTTAATTCTTTATTACAGAGTGGGGCTTTTTCCTTATCACGCGCCAGGAGAGTAGAGGCCCCAGAGAAACTCTTCGTTCTTGCTCTGCTTCTTTCTCTCTCTCTGTTCCTATTTCTGCTTTGGCCGTACTGACTAGCCGATTTTGCATAGCCAAGGACTGTACTTTGTTCCAACAGCCTGGTCACGTATATTGTATAAGTCGAGGTTAGAGAGAGAAGTTGGTTTTTCTTTTTTTGTGTGTGTTTGAGGAGGTGGGTGGAGGTTAGATTTCTGAGTTTTTGGTTTAATGGGTTTGTCCGATCTGAATCGATCTATGAGTTTTGAGGATTGGGATTAGGGTTTTCATGCAAAGTAATACGGAGAGAAGAAACGATTTCGCTGTATGTGATATGTCTGTGTTGAGGTTTGTGATTCTATCATGCAAATAAAGATGGGGGCTTTGGTGGGTTTGGGTTGAGAAAGCTAGAACAAGTTAGAAAAAAAAAAAAAAGATAAAAAAAAAAAGGGAAGGATAAGGCTTTGGATTGTTTCTTGTGGATTTGGGGAAGACTGCTACTCCTTATTTGGAATCTCAATAGGAAAGAAGAAGTGAGAAAAAAGGGTAAAAAAAATAAAAAAAATAAAAAAAAAATAAAAAGGAGAGAAAGAAAGTAGCTCTATTATTTTCTTCGTTTGGTGTATCCAAGCTACCTTCTTTAATTAGCTAGTTAGCTCTTTTTTGTCATTATCTGTCTCCCCAATTCAAAAGAGAGAGAAACAAGAAAGAGGAAAAAAAAAAAAAAAACCAGGTGACATAGCAAAAAAAAAAAGGTGTTTTGTTTTCTTCCCCTCTTATTATTCCGTCGATTTGGGGTATTTCTTTCTTAACCTAACAAGAAGAAAAAGTAAAGAAGTGATTACTAGCTAGAAGCTAGCACAACCATGGCGAATCGATGGTGGGCCGGAAATGTGTCCATGAGAGGCGTGGACTCCATTTCCTCACCTCCTTCTCTCCAACTAAGAAACTCAACAACTGACGAAGACAACGACAGCAACAACAACACAACTCCGACGAATAGCAGCCCCAGAGACGACGACAACAACACCCACGACGGCGACGAGAGCATCGACCCGGGAAGCAGCGGCGGCGGCGGATCCGGGAGCGGCGGCGGAAGGAGGCCGCGTGGCAGGCCGCCGGGGTCGAAGAACAAGCCGAAGCCGCCGATAGTGATAACGAAGGAGAGCCCCAACGCGCTTCGGAGCCACGTGCTGGAGATCAGCAGCGGGAGCGACATCGTGGAGAGCATCGCGGCGTTCGCGCAGCGGCGGCACAGGGGCGTATCCGTCCTTAGCGGGAGCGGCATTGTCACCAACGTCACGCTCCGGCAGCCGGCGGCGCCCGGGGGAGTCCTCACGCTGCACGGCCGCTTCGAGATCCTCTCCCTCTCCGGGGCCTTCCTGCCCAGCCCCTCGCCGCCGGGGGCCACCGGTCTCACCGTCTATCTCTCTGGCGGACAGGGCCAGGTCGTTGGCGGCGCGGTGGCCGGTGCTCTCGTCGCGTCCGGGCCGGTAATCGTCATCGGTGCCACGTTTACTAACGCCACCTACGAGCGGCTGCCTATCGAGGAGGAAGGCGGCGGTGAAGGGTCGCCGTCGATGCCGGTGCAGCAGCAGCAGCAATCCGGGGCGAATAATTCAGGAGGAACTCCGATTAGTAGCGAGCAGCAGCCACCACAGCAACAACAACAACAGCAAGGTTCTCCGGTTCCTCCAATGTATAATTTGCCTCCGAATTTGATGCCGAATAATGGGCAGAATATGCCTCATGACATGTTTTGGGGTCCACCGCCGCGGCCACCTCCGTCTTATTGAGAGGAGTTATAGAATTCGATATATGACATACATGTACGATTAGTAGTAGTAGTAGCAGCAGTATTGGATGGCTTTTTGTCTTTGTGCAAAAATGTTTTGGGTTTTAATTTGTAAGCAATAGCCAGGTTAGGACTTCCTCGTTTCAATTTCTTGTGAATGCTCTCTTAATTTGTTGTTTCTAATCATTTAGGCCTTTTTTTTTCTTTCTTTTTTCTTTTTTTTTAAAGGTTTATCATGTTTGAAAACTTTGTGTGAGCCTTTTTCTTTTGTTCTTTGTCTCTTATCAACTTGTTGGAAAGAAATCGTTTACATCGTTGTAGGGCAAAGAAGTTATTCATATGGTGAAGAATGGAGTTGGATCAGCTACTTATGGGGTTTTTGAAATTCTCCTCTCCATGGTAAGCACGCTTTTTATTTCATGCCATCTTTCTTCCTTATTTTTGTCTATATTAATACCTTTCAAGTTTCAACAAAAGGATTTTGCTTGAAGCAAGGTAGAATAGAAGGTTAAAAAACTGTATTGAATATTGATATTCTCTATTATCCCGCTGGATATCCTTTTCCATTAAAAAAAGAAGTTAGAATTCTATTTAGTTTTCCAAAACCAGCTAGTGAGTAGTGCAAGTTGTTTCGTTTGCATTGAACTTGGCAGGGTTTAGGGTTTGGGGCCATATAGGGGACCCGAGGGGGTCATAATATTTGCCTAGCTAGCTAGTCATCCAATGTCAAATTTTTGTAATCTGGAAAAACTTATCTTTAGGTGATGTTTCTCTTATCTGGCACTATACCCGGTGTGCATATAGCTTTTAAGTATTCACACCCTACATGTGGTAGTATCTTAGATCAAGATTTCGCTAAATTTATCAATTAAATTGGGCTCAGATAAGAAGCAAGTGATGGTATCGTGAGTAACAAATTTATTTATTTATAGATTAACTTTATGGTTATTACAATTTTTTGAGTTTGATTCTAAGGGTAAAAACTGATCAGCATGGCTTTTTTTCTTTTTTTTCTTTTTCTTTTTCTTTTATGAAATATCATTATCAAGGTATTTTATATCTAAGTGCCCTTTTGACCTAGTTTACATGTTCGACAAGACTTAGAGATTTTAGTAGGGTTGACAATTGTTCAATGCCAATACGCTATTAGTCCCGTTTATTTATTGTTATAGGGCACATGGTTAGATTTTGGATCACTTGATCATAATTTATAAGGCAAATAAGTTAGTTCTATTTAATGTTTAACAATAACTGCATGGTCAAATTGTTAGGACTGACTTGCAGTTAAACAAATAGATGTGGCATTTAAGTTGATTTGTTTATAATGAGGATTAGACAGCTGAAAATGATATATAAGGAAAAAAAAAGCTTTTAATATTTGTACAAGTCTTCACACCCTTAGAATCAATCTCAAACAATTGTAATAACCGTAATGTTTACCTAGAAATAAATAAATTTGTTACTCCCCATACCAACACTTGCTTCTTATTCTTTATGTATGCAATATTTGATCCCATTTTAATTGATAAATTTAGCAAATATGAAATCTTAACATATGATACTACCACACGTAGGGTGTAAGCATTGACAAACAACAAATGTTACATAATTTACCGGCCTGGTATGGCCGCCGGATTGAAGACACGGTGAAAATGGAAACAACTTTAGTTTGTTATTGAAGACTATATATATTTTGATACGAGTATTAAATTTTGACTAACGAGGGAAATAAAAGCGAGTCTTGAAACCATTGGTGTAAATTGTAGTCGTAGCTGTATGTGAAAGGTACTGAAAATGGGAGGTATAGAATTGAATGGAAATATATATATATATATATATATATTTTTTTTTTGTGGATATATCTTCAATGGACGTACGTCTATTTTTGGTATTGCAAATGACTTTGTCCGCTTCCACCAGTGATGGAATTTTGACTTTTCGCTTCAGAGTTAATGTTAGAAATAGAATTTTCCAATTTGGAAGCCGTTACTGGAAGTACATATATAGATATTAATATTATCAAGTAGTTATCCTATTAGAAGGTGTGAAGAAGTCTTTTATATATGATATATATCCTTCTAGGTTAATTTCTTTACCCGAAAAAAGAAAATAAAAGCTGACCATTGAAAAAATTAATACAAACAAAAAAGGACTAGTGCGCATACAATTAATTAAGTTGATGTAGAAAGTGTGGTCTTTGATTGGGGAGGAAACTTGGTAGCGGTTATGTACTTGATGTCTTGATGTTTCCTTGTGATAATTTTTGTCAACCAATGTTTTTATTCTCCATTAGGATACGATACATTCAATTTTTAGCTTACTTCTTCTGGCCTAGTTCCCATGGTCCATGCCTATATTCGTAACCCTTTTTTTTTTTTTTTTTTAATGACTCTTTGGATAAATTTTATTTTGCATCTCAAAAAGCTTGTGCAAAAAATTTGTTCATGCCTACATGTTCTCTCTCTACCACAGGCTAATTATAAACTATGCAGTACTTAAAATTTCTGGACTGTGTAATGTCTTCAATGATTCTGAGAAACACGATTTTGCACTATAAGAATATGATGTTATATGGAATTTTATTTGCGATTTCGCATACAAGTTTGGTTTGTTGTGATCATCAATCTAATATGGTCCACAAATGAGAGAACTTGTTCTTTTTCGTTGTCGTATCAATTGCTAAAATATTGTAGTTTTGCATTTCCTTTTTTTTGTTGTTGTTGATAAATAAGTTTTGCATTTGATAGTGTTGTTGAATTTTGTTATCTTATGCATATACTCATTTTGAGCCTATATTAAAGCACAAGGTGTCATTTTACTCTTTATTTGAAGAAAAAGTATAGGCAAATATTACATGAGTCCTAGTTGGTTCCATAACCTGAATTTAGTTTAGCATGTGTGTGTGTGTGTGTGTTTTTTTTTGTTGTTTTTTGTTTTTTGTTGTTTTTTATTTTTTATTTTTTATTATTAGCTGTTGTTAATCTAGCCGCAACGGTGAATAAGTCGAAGAAATTTCGTCTCTTTTTAAGTTGTCGTATGTTAATATAGTCTTTGTAGCTCTTATTGAGTAGTGGCTATAGAACTTAAAAAATTCTTTTTGTTAATTAGATTTTCTTTTGCATTAAATGAAAAACCTTCATCAAACTATAATTTCCTTATAATAAAAGAAGGCAGGTAATGCTCGGTCTAGCATGTCTATACAGCCTGTGCATGAGTTTTTATCCCATGCTTGGTAATGAATTGACAGAAAGGCCACTGGCTTGTGTTCTTCTACCTGGTAAGAAAGAGGGCACTTCCTGAACTTTGGTCCTTATAACGATGTCCCCCGGTTTTATAACGAGACGTACTCCGTAAATTTTAAAACGCAACATTTGTTCCTCCATACTATGACCCGTAAAAAATATTGCCCCTCCATTTTTATTCCGCAAACAAGCAAGAGGTCCCTCGTCTATCCCCCTCGTGCCCAGCCATCATATGGATTAGACACCGTGTTATTGGAACGTAAACCTTTTATTTTTCAGGCTTCTTTTTTCCCGCTTTATTTGGGCATAAAAGGCCGGTTCCAATTTCTAACATACATGTGTAACAACTATAAAAATATAGGAGTTAATATGGTTGTAATTCTTATCGAACAATGTGGATAGAAAATTGGTGGCTTTTTCTACCAGAATTGTCCCTACTGCGACAACAAACATTTTATTGATACAACATCTTCTAATAGTATTTAATATCTTTTTCATTGCTAGTCCAATCAATAACTTACCATCGGAGTTGGTTAGTTGGTGAGATCATTTTGGTTGAAAACTTACCAAATGATTGTCCCAAATGGCAGTCCGACCATGAAAACCGGCAATTTAATAATTGGTTAGTGACTAGTATTATTATTATTATTTTTTTAAGCCAGAAAATTATATCACAGCAATATCCCAAGAGTAGAATTGGTTCAAAGAGGACCTAGCCTCGCAAAGAATATCTTTCACCGCTCACTCTTCCAAGAGCTTCCGCAACTGAAGAACCACCGTTTTGCAATGACTAGTAGTGCTAGAGTCGGGATTTTACTTCAATGGGACATACACAAAAATTCTTTCTCGAAGTATACAAATAAAGTTAAAAGGTGTATAGTAGAGCGAGGGTGAACACACAAAAAACGATATTTCAATTAGACAAAATTAGAAAATCACAAAATTTTAAAGGTGATTTAAAAAAAAAAAAAAAAACGCAGATGAAAACACACACAACCAGTAAGGCTATTCTCCAACTACCTATGGATTGGAAGCAACAACTTAAAGGAGCCACCACGTCATCTCTAGTGCGTTATCTCTAGCCCCCACTCACATTTGTTGTTTTTTTAAATATTTGCTAATGTTTTTGTTATTTTAACAAATAGCCCACACAAGAAACCCTTCACACTACTACAATTTGGCCTATTTACGACGAAATTATTTGCGACAACAATTGTCGTCGCAAATAAGTGAATATTTACGGCGACATGTCGTCGTAAATATTTTCGTAAAATTGAAAAAATAATATTGTCGCCAAAACGTTACATGTCGTCGCAAATAATAGCTTGACACCAGATCTCGTATGGCGCGAACTTTTAACGCCAAAATAACATTATTTGCAACGACATGTCATCCTAAATAGTCTATTATTTCCCAAATAGTCCCAAATAGTCCCGTTTCAGTGGCTTTGAATTTTGTAAGTTTTTTTGGTCCGAATTATTGTATTTGTTAGTTTAAAATTTATGAGTTTTTTGTTATTTGAATTGTATATAATTATAGATTATAAATCTTAAAATTTGATTTATGGATTTTAGAATTAGTATATAATTTGAAATTTGGATTATAGATTAAATTTTAGATTATGAATTTTGAGATTGTTGAAATTTGATATTGAGATTGTTGAAATTTTAAGATTATAATTTGATTTAGGTTGAGATTAAAAGTTTTAATAATTATTCTGGGTGGCACATCTTGCAGTTATGGTGTGCCGAAATCTTTTAAAAACTATTGTTTGCATGTTTGAATTTTTGGATAATAAGAAAAATATGTCGTTATAATGCCAAAATTTTATTAAAACCTATTAATTTTAAGAATTTAATTAATAAGAATTAATTATATTAATAGAAAGAAAATTAAAAATTAATTATAAACATTATGAGTGCAATAAAAAAAATAACTTGTTCATAAAATTTGATGAAACTTATAAAATTGAAGAAAAATTTGATCAAATCTTCAAATACTTTAATTAGCCCCCACAAAAATTGAGAAAAAATCAATTTTACCTTTACTCAAATCAACATAATTTTACGTTAAATTAAATATAACCCCTCTAAAATTGAAAAAAAAAAATCAATTTGTCTCAACAAAATATTTTAAAAAATATTTAAACCCCCACTGAACAAAAATCTTGCCTCATCCAGCCTTGCATCTACATTTATTTGATCTATTTTAGGGGAGAGGAAGCCAAGATCTTTGAGATTAACTAAAGCCTCATGGGTGACAATTTGGATTGTGTTCCTCTCGACTTAAATTTTTGTATTGATTTTGAGTTACTTACATGTCACTCGTTTAGTAAAAAATTTACTAAGATCCGTATCGTCACAACTAGTATAAGCAATTTGCTCTTGGCTTTTTTTTTTTTTTTTTTTTTTTTTTTTTTTTTTTTTTTTTTGCTGGAAACAATTTGCACTTGTTTAATCTATTTATCTATACTTTACTTTATGAATATATGCCACAATTTTATATTTTTCATTATATTCAAATAAAATCTGTTTAAAAAATTCATTTAAGAAATATGTCTATTACTTAATCAGTTTTAATAAATTGAGTCAATTAGAGTCAATTTCGTGTCATTAGTTTGAATTGAGTTCAAGTCATGTTGTTGTATGCAACTCAAATTGCCACTCATCTTAAGACGACAATAATTAGGCACCCAAATAGGTCTCAAAATAAGTGTTAATATTAGAATATAAAATTATTATTGGTCCACCTTCTAATAACTTTAAAATGAATTGGTAATTAACCTGGTATCAAAACATGAGGTTTTATGTTTAAATTCCGGCAAATGCACTCTTTTATCCTCTGCCCTGGCAAGATTAACCATAAAAAAATAGCGGAAAACAGCTCGCCATTAATACTAACCAAATAGAATGAATATACACGAATTCCCCAACAAGAGGTAAATCAAATTTGTTTGGGCAGAACACACTTAAAAAATAAGTGCAAAAGAGTCTCCTCTTCATCACAAGAACTTATGATGCGGATGAAAACATCGGCTTTCCAGAATTTTGGTTTAGGAAAAGAGGGAGAGAGAAAATGTAGTATCATCCTTACGGTAAAGTAAACAAAGAAAAAATGTAAATGCATTATCATTTTTCTTTAAAAGAGAATAATTGTGTATTTTTCAACTCACCCCACAAAAAAAAAAAAAAGAAAAAAGAAAAAAAGAGTATGCAACTTTGAACTCTACTATTTAGTCATATTTGTTTTAAAAAATTTAGAGGATCGAAATTTAAATTTCAGACATCAATAATAAAAGTGAATATGGTTCTAGTACTAAGCTATTTCCACAACGATTATTCTGTTAACAAATTTTTCGTATTACTCTTGCTATAACAAATTTCCACTTCCGATTTTCAGTATTTTTTTTTTTTTTACTTTAACTTTATATTAAAAAAACATTTGTGTAATTATTTGATCGACTATTATAATGGACCTTCCAGTTGTAGTGTTATCGAGTGATCCATTTTAGTGGGTTCATAACCATTAGGCTGATCTTTGATCTTTCATTCGCTGACCATAAGATTTTTTGAAACGTCACTTTAACTAAAACAATAGAGAAGAACAAGTGAATGATATTTCGATGTAATTAAAATATGCATACTAAATGAGAGAACATTCTTCCATTTTGGGACGAAATTTCTGATTGTCAAACTATTGGTTGAAGTTTTCTTTTACCAACCATAAAAAAAAAATAATAATAATATTTATATTGGTTGAAGCTTGAGAGCAGTTGCGGGACAAAACTTTGACTTATCATTATTTAACTCAGAAGGGAGTTGTGAAATGTTGAAGTGCCATACGTAATTATATATGAAAGTTGACATCTCTAAAATCGAATGGTTTTGTGGAAGTTAATCATGCCAAGTCATGAATTTGGAAGCAAATGGATCGTTTCTGGTTCTTCGAATAATTGAACCTTTGGAATCCAATGAGCTAGTACGTAGAAGAAATCCTTGGACTATACGCGACATAAATATCTGCTTTTATTTACTGTGGGAGTTAAAATCCTACCTACTGTTAGTATAATATTCCCAAAAAAAAAAAAAAAAAAAACCATACTTTAAGTAAATGATGACGTTTTACTCGAAATATGTATAATGATGTCGTATTGATAAGGAAAAACTATAACATTTACTCGAAATAGAGAAAAAGAGCAAAACGATGTTGTATTGACAAGGAAAAAAGAATGAAAAAACAGAAAACGCGAGAAAGAGGTTTTGAAAGAAAAGATCAAAACGGGGGGTTTTAAGTGAATCTAGCTACATAATCCCACTAAAGTAATAGTATAACTTGAATTGAATGGTCAGCAAGAATAGTGATCCAAATTGATTCGAGCAACTGTTGCCTATAAATAGAAGTAAAGACGAGGAAAATGGGGACTTTTCCATTTCTAAATACAGAAACTCTTGTCAAGTTGACTCGTGGATTCGAGACTAGTTCTAATCTCTCTAGAGTTTAGAGTATTTGAAAGTGTTTGGATTTGGATATTTTAAGTCTTTTATATGATTTGGGGCTAGATTAGAGAAGTACTCCAATATTAACTTTTTCAATAAGCCAAAAATCTTCTGGCCCTGGCCTCACATTAGAATGAGAGTGACATGCCATATTCTTAATTAATCTATTTGGTGCTTTTAATAATGTATTAAACTGACAGATTTCCTCTGATTGTGCTATTTTTTTTTATTTTGTATTTTTACATATTTTTATGAAGCACTAGATATAAAATTATTTTTATCTTTTTATATTGAAAATATTAGTAATTCACCTTAATGCATGAGGAAGTGACATTAAGGAATTGAAACGGACAGAAGGAATATTATATATAGAATATCAAAATCAAACCTAGCACAAATTAAAAAGGGAAATAATAAATAGTACAAAATGGTTCATAACCCCACTATGACTATGTGGCAGGTAAACATGTAGACATGATTGAATCCAAGTGTGGTAGGCAGAGAGTACACCTGATTTTGGCATGTGAGAGTCCACAGCGTTTACTTTAGCATTACGAGTTCTATTTAGTAGCACTACTTTTCAGTACAAAATTTGTTCTCTTGTGCAGCCAAAAGAAATTCCCATATGGTTCCAAATCCAAAGTTGTTGTTTTGCTAGGAAGAAAAAAACATGCAGTTGATAAATTACTTATGAAACGCTTAAAAGTCTCAATCCCATATTGGACCTATACAGTTTCCCATATTGGGAATGTCATCCAACCATGGGCTATTTCCAAACTTCTCTTGCTCTGTTCCCTCAAAAAGTTTCCTTAAAGGATCTGAGAAAGTGTGACAAGGTACATTCTCTTCTCCCCAACCATAGAAAGGTGGAAAGTGAACACCCATATTATGGCCATCAAATCCTGATTGGTTATTGTTATTTTCAGTTGAATTCCCTATCTGGGAGAGCAGAATTTCCTGTTGATTCTGATAATACTGCGAGTTCATCGCATCATTTTGCGGAAAAATTTGAGTTTCATTAACATTTGAGGAGTTGTTATTGTTCGTTGCTTCAGAACTTCCACAGCTTGCAATACCAGCTGTGAGATTATTAGCAATTTGGTTCCCAAGAATCTCTATCTCCTCTTGCAAGCATGCAATCTGTACAAGTAATTTTTAGATTTTTCATTTGGCTAAAATATATTTGATGGAAAATGGAAGTAGAAAAGGGTAGAAAGTAACCTGTTGTTGGAGAGTAAAGATGTGAGCAACACAACCATATATAGGATCTCTCATCCGAGCAAGTGCTTCATAGGAAATAGTTGTAGCAGCATCACTTCTGTTATGCACCGGCAAGTGTAGCAATAGCTTGGAGACATTGCTCGCTCCAAACACTTTGTGCACCGCGGCAAAATGGCTCGGGGCCTCGTCGTAGCAGAAATAAGGAGCGAAAATGCACTCGCTCGAGCATTTTCTTCTTAGGAACTTGCACGCCCCACATGAAGAGCCAAATCCTGTCATAGTCCTAAGCTTTTTTCACTTATCTGTGTCAAATGATTTTTTTCTTTTCTTTTTTTTTTTTTTTTTTTTTCACAGTACTAAGTACTCTGCTAACTTGGGGGAGTAGTTTGTTTGTGTACGAAATGATTTTGGATTAATTTTGCTCTTTATAGCCATCAAGTTGCAAAGGGATGATTAGAAATTCTTTTTGGCTTTCTCCAAAGGACATTCTTCTTTTTACTGAAAAGTAGTGCTCTTTTAGGTCTCCTTTATGGCCTACATTGTCATTCTCAAATCGGGTAAGGTTTCCTAATTAGTGCCTCAAAAGGGCTCTTTCCATAAAGAGTCTTTAGGAAATTAGACTGTTTGATGGAAGACCTAATCATTATTATCATTAGTTGGGTTGTTAAAACAAGAGATAATCGTTTTGAATTATACTTTTTAAGCCAAGAACATCTAGCAGGAGAACCGGGGAGGCAACAGCTATTAGCTTTTTCTCCCTTCATTTCTCAAAATTCCCAATTATGAAAAGCTCATTTTGCCTAAGAGTCAATTTAATTAAAAAAGAAAAAAGAAAAGAAAGAAAAGAATACCTACAGAATCCTCCACATTTAAAACCTTAAAATATGTTCATTGATTAGTAGAATCAAGAAACCAAAATCAATCAAGAACCCTAAGCTAAAAAGTTCTTCTATTACTTCACCTCTGATCAATATATATATATATATATATATATATGTAATTATCACGTTCTAAAGTTCATCTTGAAGATAAAGAGTTCTTCATTTATTTCATTCAATAGTAATTTTTCCATATAAACTTCTTCTTGAAGCACACCATTTTTACGCTCTTTAATGTATATTTGGCATAAATTATTGTTGTCAATTCTATATTGGGTAAATTGCATTCCTGTACTCTTTTTTTGTCTTTTTAAGTTGAACCCTGAACTTTTTAATTTTGACTTTTAGAATCTAAAATTTGACAATCCATACAAATTAAATCTAACTAATCTATTATGTCTTTGGCTTGTTCTTTTGCATGATTTAAGTTATGACTTGAGTTCTATATGCGAGGAAAAAATATTATAATAAAAAAATTGAATTTAAGTTTTTATGAGAAAAAATACTGTAACAATATGACTTGACTTAAAATTAGAATCCCAAATTCCCAAATGCCAAAATTAAAACGTGTAGAGTTCAATTTGCCAACCAATAAAATTTTTCTAGAATATTGCGGGGGCATTTTTTTCGTAATTGATGTTCTTTAGTTAATGGTTTATACCATTACAAAAGTTAAATAAATATTCATCAAAATTAAAAGTTTGCGGTTCAAATTACAAAACACGGATAAGTTAAGCACTTGTTTAATTTATTGATTCGAGTTTTTAATTCAAGTTTATATGTGATTTTATGTAAGAGCTTTTTACTGTAGTAAAAAAGTTAGATGTGATTATTTTTGAGAGCTTAATAAAAATTAAATTTTAAACTCGAATTGATAAAATAAACGGAAAGTAAAATAAATATAATAATTGTAATAATAAACATTTCTGGAGTACTCTATATACAATACTATTAGCAGCCACTTGAGCAAATTACACGTGTCATTAATTGCATGAGGGTAATTATGCAAAGCCTCTTATAGCAAGGCAGGCAATATTTTAATGCCTCCAGTCAAAATCAACCTATTGGGTTAGTGCACTTCGGTAAAGACATGCTTCTTTTTTTTTTTTTTAATATAATAAAAACAAATTTTATAATATTACTTTTACTAGCTGGTTTATCCTAGCTTAATTAGTGACTAATCGACATAGAGTCCGTGACTCATGACGGCCATTTGTCCAGACGTAACTACTTCTCCATAATCACCAATATTTTAATCCCTTCACGTTGTTAATAATCCATATTTTTCGCTATTAATCTTTCATTATCGAGTTTGGCTGTTGGCCACTTTACTATGAGTCGGTACAAAAAGAACCTCTCAGCTTGTTTTCCCAAGACCAAGAAAAACAAAAGGTTGAAACAGCAAAAATCCAACTTCTTTCAAGCCAAAGAAACCAAGAATTACAGGCTCACGTAACTATCAGAACAAAAAATATACATATAATAATAAATTACAAATAAATAAAGAGTTAAAAAGAGTTGTAAGTCTATTGCATGTTGATAAAAAGAAGAGAGTTGGGCTAATTAGAAAAGAGAGAGACAGAGAATTTAGGGGAGACAAAACACCAATTTCAGTAAAATGAACCTCAACTTTGTGTCATTTCACAACTGTTTAAGTCTTTTGTTTTGCAGTAAAAGGTGTTAATATTGCATGGGAATGGTGGGTGTGCTTTTCGGCTTTCGAGCTTAACGATGAAAGTGTATTTCTCTATCATGGCTCAATTATCGTCTGTTTTTATCATCTGCATGGTCTACTCTTTGTAGCTCTCAAAAATGGCGTGTCATGTTTGTTTGTATATATATGTATATATATATATATATATATATCTCTCTCTCTCTCTCTCTCTCTGATTTATATATGCTTGTGCAATGAACCTATTACCGTAGTTTCGGGTCATAGCTAGGGGAGAGAGAACTATCAAGTAGTAATCATTTCCAGTGATATCTAATAATATTTCTTAAGCAAAATTTTTGAGCTGTCATCAACTAAATAATTACAGCTTTCATGTAAAGAAATGACAACAATTTAGGATATGAGTTTCTAGATAAGCCAGTTAAAATTTAGTATTAATCTTTTCGGCCAATAATTTCTTTCATTTGTTTTACTGATAGCTACATTCATGTTCGAGCAACTGAGAATGGTTAACTCTGTGAAATAGTTGGTGAGAGAATGTTAAAATAGGATTGGAAAATTTTTTATAGTAATATTAGTTGTGTGCTTGAAGCTCACCATATAGTTTTTAACCTCTCTCTCTCTCTCTCTCTCTCTCTCTCTCTTCTTCCAGTTAAAGCAGCGCGAGTTTGTGTATTATAGTTTTAAATACTCATAAGAACAAGGCCCTTTAAAGAAGATTCATGATCTGATATTCGTAAAATCTACTAAACTTATATGGTGTTAGACATAAGTGATGTTTGATATTCTCATAGTAAATCAAATTGCACACAAATCTCTACAGCCCCCACCCCTCAAAAAAATAACGAAACGGAATTAAAAAGAAACGAAGAAAGAAAGAAAGAAGAAAAAGAAGAACACTCCTTTTATCTTTATCCCATGAACGTCCAGAAAATTAAAACATTAGGTGTCAATCCACTTCTTAACGTCAGCGCATAATTTTGTTCAAAAAAATTATATTAATCACAATATGTTAAAGTATAAAAGCCCACATCCTAATGTTTTTGGGATGAATTGATAAATTAACATAGTATTCCGAGTTTAAACCTTCGTACTTACACTCTTTATTTTTATTTAAATTGTTATCACGTGTAGGGTCTTTTCAAATAATTTACCTATACATGAGGGAAAGTGTTAAAGTATAAAACTATTGTTGGCTTATCTCTTAATAACTTAAGCTTTTGGGATGGATTGATAAACTAACACAATAACTAATAAATAAAGTTTATAAATATTATTCAGCTAATTAGAGGGATCATAATATAGGAATAGTTTATCATGTTAAAATCAAATTCAAGTACAAGTTTTAACCGTTAGATCAATCATAATCATTGCAGATTAATTAATAAGAATAATGCTAGAAATTATATCAATTCTAATCTCAATTTTTTTTGTACTAACTTACGTGATATGTGAGCTGTCATCCTTTTATTAGTAGTTGTTTAAAAGATTGTCACGTCAATCATCTGCAGTAGAAAAATAACAGCTCTATACTAATAAAATAATTAGGATTAGAATTGGTATTCCTAACCCTACTAGTTAAATAAAGTATTAACAATCATATAATGTTAGAACTGCACTTCCTATCAATATGCTACTTTTTTATTTAACAAAAGAATTCCGAGTTAACACTACAAGCAGTAAAAAGTAGTCTGAGGTGTGGAACCATCTAATCTTTGTGTTCTTGAGCTACGATCGAGCCGGGTAATACTGCTCCAAGTAGTAGAATATGAGTTTTATCTATAGGGTGTTGTCGGTGGGACCCCAAACTTATGTTTCATGGTCGTCATTACCGATCACGATTGATAAATATTTTTGTTTTTTTCTCTCCCCAGAAAGACATTCTCTTAACAACTTCCAGCTGAAGATCAGCTCTGAGTGCGTACTGAAATGAAAAAAAAAAAAAAAAAAAAAAAACAAAAAAAAAAAAAAAAAAAAAAAAAAAAAAAAAAGGCTCCAGCCCAACCAATTTTTTCTTGGCAAATTGTAGGAAATAGACTGATTTTGGAAAAAAATTAAAAAAAGATCAGAAAAGCACATGATTTGCCATGATATCGTAGAGGTCTAGTATTTACGTCATTTTAAATAATAAGGTGTCATCGTGATTTTTTATTTTTTATTAATTGAGTAAAAATTATTTATTTTTAAGTTGAGTGACATAAATAAATATTTTTTACAGTCTTAAAGTGTAGTTTTGGTATTTTTTTTTCCCTTAAAACAAATGGTAGTTTTTTTTTTTTTTTTTTTTTTTTTTTTTAATGTAAAGGTGCTTCATATTATTAGACCAAATCTGCAAGCACTGACTGAGCTACAAATCGTGGGATCATGTATGACCCTATGATGTACTCTTGACTACATTGATGATTACATTGATGGCCATAAGAAGCTAACCCATGAGCTATTACCACTCTCATTAACATGGGTACCTTACTCCTATAGCTGCTCATTGAGGATAATAACAAAGAATGTCATCTATAATAACACCTTCCTCATGACCTAGAGTTGATCCCACATTAACTGTTTGTACTACTCGGAGTACATTCACTTCGGCAACACTGATTAAGAAGCCTTGTTCTTATGCAAAAATTAAGAAGCCTTTCCAAACGACAATACATTTTTCAAGAAACGGAGTGAAGGGACCCGCAATTTTGATCTTAACCAAACATGCACTAATGGAGGGATTTCAGGAGTTAAGAAAATGAATTTTTTTTTTTTCTTGGAATAAGAATTTCCCAAACTATCCTCTCTCTCTCTCTCTCTCTCGCTCTCTCTCCACCATGTCATGAACTAGCATGATTTCACAGTAGTTGTCGTGACTTCGCGGCCTTGTCGTGATTCACAACTTGGAGCCGTAGCTTCGTAATGGGTCTAGTATCTTCTCCGGACTAGGTTTCTTGTCCAGTGATTGGGGCAGCAGGAGGGGAAATTATAGATTGAGAATTTTGGATATTAGGATTAGGGCTTTAATTTGGGGTATTTAGAGGCTAATTTTGAGCAGGGATGGAGCTAGCTAAGATTAAGGAGGGGCCGCAGCCCCCGAGCCAACTAGCTCCTTTTATGTTTATCTTTGAAATTTATAATTTTTACCCCTTATTTTCTTATTTAGCCCTCCTAAAATTTTTTATTTCTAAGTTTTATGTTAATATTGTTTTTAAAAGTTTTAAAAATTTTATTTTCTTTGCCCCTCCAAAATTTTCTAATCCTAAATTTTATGCAAGATATTTCATTTACCCTCTTAATTTTTACTTAGAATTATTTTTTATTACATACTTAATTTAGTTTAAAAGTTTAACTCAAACCCCCTCTGAACTTCGTCCCTGATTTTGAGGTTTTTATTTGAAGATATTTTGAAAGAGCAGAAGAAGAAGAAGACACCTTAGCGAAAACCCACTCTCTCTACATATTTTTTAACTAAAAAACAATAATCATATTTTTTTTTTAAAAATTGTATCATCCACTACAAGAAAATTGATTTTTGCTACCACGATTATTTTAGTAGCGAAATCATCCCTTTCAGCTACCAAACTTTGATGGTTAAAAGTTGATGTATTTCTACTATCAAATTGATGCATCCATCCATGTATCATGACAAATACCTTAATTATTTAACAAAAGTGTTGTTACTGTTAATACGTGGTAAATTCTAAATTTATCAAATTTGATTCTTAGAAAAATTTTAAATGTATCGAATGTGGCTATTTACAAACTAATTGCCCCAAATACGACCATTTGTTTCGATTCCCCTCTAGAAAAATGTTATTAATTTTCCTCTTCTCTTTCTTTTATTGACCGACAAGCGCATGCACACGTATTTATCATGAAGAATGTGCTTCGAATCTGAAATTTAGATCATGGTACGAAGGAACTTTAAGAAATTACTAATGAGGTAATTTTCTTTCCTCTTTAATGATTTTCCTCCTTTTGATGTTTTCGTTCAAGTAAATGTCCAATAAATAAATAAAGAAGACAAATACTTCTTAAAAGTATATGGGTCAGGATTTTTAGTTCTTATTCTTACTTAATAACTTTTTTAGTTAAAAAATTATACAAATAAAAGGATATTAATCAAGAATGAGAAATAAAAATCGAGATGATACACTCTTAAAGATAAATTATGTAATTTTATCTCGATATTTTTTCAATTTTTTTATTAAATACTATGGCCATGAAATCGTTGAGCAGGCTTTTTCATTAATCAAAGTAAAAGGAAAATTAACTAAAAGAAAAAAAGAAAAAAAAAAGGGAGGCAAAAGAAATCACGTACTAAATTCTTTCCCCCTCATCTGTTCTACCTGTCCTTTGGGAGACCTTGAGTTTGTAATTAGATTTTCGGTCTACCAAATTAGAACCCATTTCACAATTATTCTGGTAGTCATGGAACATAACCAAATTATATACTTCAGGATATTTTTGTACCATAGACCAGTTGACAGAGAGCTATATAGGACACAAAAGTAGCTTATCAAAAGTGATATCCACCTCATTTATTTCCACAAACCTGAAAAAAAAAAAAAAAAAAACCACCAATGAATTATTTCCAATCACAAACATTTTATTCATTCACGTCATCTGCAATTTCCTATTCTGAATGAAGTTTCTTTGCAGAAAGCAACAAAAAGAAGAACAAAAACAAAATTAAGCATATGGGGTTTCCAAGGAACGTAATTTTGTGGCAACCAAGGACTAAACTTTTTAGTGGATAAGAGGAGCAGAAATTCTAACCTCAAGGCCCAATTGAGGGCTCAGTTACAAGCGCTCTCCGCTTGCCACGTGTCAACGAGGGCAATCTTGAGTGTGTGGCTGTTAACCAATTGAGAAACCAATCCTCAAGTTATCAGTTTTGTGTGTACACTCGGAACTGCTACTATAAGTCCTGTCCTCCCCCAAAATCTCCCCCTCATTAGACACTCTGCACTTGTGCTTTGAACCAACGCTGTGAGGTGCCTCTTCTGTCTTCTTAACTCATAATCACAACCGTCTCCAACCTCTCGGAAACCAATGGCTGCCGCCATGTCCACCATCGGCGCTGTCAACCGTGTTCCGGTACCTTAATTAATTACTATTTTTGTACACGTACGCGTGGTTGTATATGCATATACACTGTTTTAGACATTGACATAAAAATCACAAAAAAAAAAAAAAAAAAAAAAAAAGTCAATTACCTAACTTGTCATTGGTAATTAAGTTTATGGTTGTTGTTTATAATTAGTGATTTCTGAAGTTGATATATTAATCTCTGATTTAATTTGTTAAAAAATCTGATAACTAATGATTGTACTAATGCTAAGAAAAAAAAAAGAAAAGAAAAAAGATTAACTAAGTTGTACGCATGCATGCAGTTGAGCTTAAATGGGTCAAGCAGTGGAGCTTCAAGCTCAGCCTTCATGGGCAGCAACTTGAAGAAAGTGAGCTCAAGATCTAGCAACTCCAAGGCTTCGAGCGGATCCTTCAAGATCGTGGCCGCGAAAGGGGGAGACTACGAAGAGGAGAAGCAGACCAAAAAGGACAAGTGGAGAGGCCTTGCCTACGACATCTCCGACGACCAACAAGACATCACCAGAGGCAAGGGTATGGTCGACTCCCTCTTCCAAGCCCCCATGGAAAGCGGTACTCACTACGCCGTCATGAGCTCTTATGAGTACATCAGTACTGGACTTCGCCAGTAAGTCAAAGATTAATCAATTTAATTATTAATTGAATAACATCCCACTAAGACGTAGAGTTCGAATCCTTTCACCCTTGTATTAAAAAATAAAATTATTTATTAAATAACATAATTAAGGTTACTAATAATTTGTATGACCATATGAATTATGCTTTTAGGTACGACTATGACAACACCTTGGACGGTTTCTACATCGCCCCTGCTTTCATGGACAAGCTTGTTGTTCACATCACTAAGAACTTCATGACTTTGCCCAACATCAAGGTATGATCAACTGAATTTATATATGATTATAGTTAATTAATTAACACCATGTATTGTTATTGATTTTGAGTCCTATATATTAACGCTATACATTCATTCGTGTTATTTACAGGTTCCTCTTATTTTGGGTATTTGGGGAGGCAAAGGTCAGGGAAAATCCTTCCAGTGTGAGCTTGTCTTTGCCAAGATGGGAATCAAGTGGGTTCATATTCTATTTTCTCATATATTACCATATCACATATTTTACTTAATTAACGGCCATAACTGAATCCATGAGTAAAATCCCAACAAGTATTAATAGATTTAATTTATGGCTGTAAATATATGGTGTACATGAAAGAGTACAAGTTTAGTGCCAAGGCAAAATCCATCCAACCTGTTGTGGAGCTAGAAATTTATATCATTCAAATACGCTTGCCAATCCGGGTACTGACACGACAACACGACTCGAAACCCGCACAAAGTTAGTGAGTTTGGGTTTATTATAAATGAGTTTGGGTCATAATCGGGTTGACACGATTAACACAATTAATAAATGGGTTGAGTTAAGGTTGACCTCTTAACACGAAGTGACACGAATTGACATCATTAACTATATGTGTCATCTACAATCTAATTATATGTGATATAACATGAAAGTTTATATGACATATTAAATACAAATAATGTGAATTTTAATATTTGTAGGTAAAATTCATTTATTTTTCTTAAAAAAAAGATAAATTGACAAATAAATATGTTAAACCTATCTTGACCGTGTTAAATAAGTCATTATTATATTAGTTATTTATTCAATATATTAATTTAAACGGGTTATACAGGTTGACATGATTAACACGATTAATAAATGGGTCGTGTTTTGGTTGATATTTTTGACACGTTTAATAAACAAGTCATGTTTGGGTTGACATTTTCTGACACGATTAATAAACAAATTGACACGAACAATACCCGCTAACACAAATTGTCACCCTTATACTTAGTTTTGGAGCTAGAAAATTTTTCAATAAATGTATGAAAAAAATTAAAATAATTTTTATTGAATATATCATTTTTTCAATAAAAGTACTATAAAAAGTTAAAAATAATTTTTATTGAATAGTGATATAGTTATATATTTTATTTATTTTTAATGTGACCTAATTATTATTTATGTTATGAAATAAAAATTTAACATAACACATACAGGATAGTAAAGCATTTAGAACTCTTGTATGTCTCAAGTTCAAGTTCTACTCTACTATTTTTTTTATCTATGTAAGAAATTAAATTATAATAAACTAGTAGCATATTGTGAAACAATTTTAACTAAAGCTCCGTTTATTTCACCGATTTGAGTTTAAAATTCAAATTTTACTACAGTAAAAAGTTCTCAAAAACAGACATATCTAACTTTTTTGCTACAGTAAAAAGCTCTCACATAAATTTATATCTCAATTCGAATTAAAAACTCGAATCATCGAACTAAACGAGCCCTAAAAACTGATATGAAAATAGTTTCACGCGCATTCATAATGAACATATACTGATACACATGCATGTAACGTGCGTACATACTGCAGCCCCATCATGATGAGCGCCGGAGAACTGGAAAGCGGGAACGCCGGAGAGCCTGCGAAGCTGATCAGGCAGAGGTACCGTGAGGCGGCGGACATCATCAAGAAGGGAAAGATGTGCGCCCTCTTCATCAACGATCTCGACGCCGGAGCCGGTCGTATGGGCGGGACCACCCAGTATACTGTCAACAACCAGATGGTTAACGCCACCCTTATGAACATCGCCGACAGTCCTACCAACGTGCAGCTCCCTGGAATGTACAACAAGGAAGAGAACCCCCGTGTCCCCATCGTCGTCACCGGAAACGACTTCTCCACCTTGTACGCTCCCCTCATCCGTGACGGTCGTATGGAGAAGTTCTACTGGGCCCCCACCCGCGAGGACCGCATCGGTGTCTGCATTGGAATCTTCCGCAGCGACAACGTCCCGAAGGAGGACATCGTCAAGATTGTCGACTCCTTCCCTGGCCAATCCATCGGTGAGTTTTTCTTTGGTCATCAATCAAAATGTGTGCTTAATTATGGCTGATTCCTCATTTGTTGCACTATTATTAGTATTACATAGTAATAGGATGAGTTCAATTACACAATGATCTACTACCAAGTGCGTATTGCTAAAGGAGACGAGCCAAATTCAGAATTTTATCATGTTTTATTGTTTATTTTCTGTTGTCTAAAGCATAGACATTCATTTTATAAAAGTGCATACTAATTAAGAATTTGATTAAAGTTTCGAGTCGTGTTATTATACTGAAATTTTTTAAATATAATTTGGTAAAGTCAAGACAATAACACGTAACAAAAATGACATATTTTTTGTTTTTTTCTGCAGATTTCTTTGGTGCTCTGAGGGCGAGAGTTTACGACGACGAAGTGAGGAAGTGGGTCTCCGGTGTCGGAGTTGAGAGCGTGGGGAAGAAGCTCGTGAACTCGAAGGAAGGACCACCGACCTTCGAGCAGCCAAAGATGACCTTGGAGAAGCTGCTCGAGTACGGAAACATGCTTGTGCAAGAGCAAGAGAATGTCAAGAGAGTCCAATTGGCCGACAAGTACTTGAGCGAGGCTGCTCTTGGTGATGCAAACAGAGATGCCATGGAAAGAGGAGCTTTCTAGAGTTAATCCTCTAGACGCCTTGATGGGAGGTTCGCATCTATATATTAATTTTTGCTTTTTGTAAAAGCTAAACCTCCGTTTTGCTCGCAGTTTAAATAACAATTCAACCTTTTTTCTTATATAGTCTAAAAGAATTAGCCATTTTATGTGATCACGCCGTATATTATATGTAAATATGTGATTGATTCAACATTAACTGTGGTAATTATCTCATTAATCTTTCTTTTTACTTATGTGATTTTGTTGTTGTATATTTGGATGCAGGCAAAGCAGCCCAGCAAGTAAATGTTTCTGTTACTGAAGGTTGCACCTATCCGACGGCTAGGACTGATGATGGTAGCTGCTTATATACTTTCTATTTCTAAAGGCCTTTGTCTAGATTGCTTCAATTTGGAAGAAGGACCTCCGTTTCTTTTTTTTTTTTCTTTTTTTTCCTCTTTTAAGGATGTTAATAAAAACAATCATGTTGTTTCACTTTCTTTCAATGGGATTGGTAATCCTCTAATTTTTGTGTTACATTGTTACAATGTTTGCTCTTATTGGTTTTATTTTTTCCTTACCTCCATTCTTTAAGTGATTCTTACCACCAATTTCAGTATAGTTGATGCTTTGGGTTCAAAAAGAGAGGGAAACGTCACAACGTATCCTAATGCTAATTTCCCAAGTTCAAAATCCCACTTCTAAATTAAGTTTTGATTCAGCAAAAAAAAAAAAAAAAAAAAACTACCTCTATTCCTTTGAAAACTTGCAGATATGGGCTTTATTTTATTGCCAACTAGGCCTTACGTTCGCCTGGGCTAAATTATGGAAGGTGGTCGGTATTCACAACCCAGACAATGAGCAGGTTTCTTTCTCTTTTTTCTCCTCTTATACACGACAAAAAAGAATACACATATACACACACACACACACACACATATAGTCCTACTCTTTAGTCCGGCATCGAATAGTGTTGAGGTCAAATTTTGTATTTCATTTTTTATTACACATGTGTCAATACACATCTCAAAGAATGGTAGTCAATCGTAGAATCGGCCTCTAAAACCATGCTCATCAAGCCTCCAATAGCTAGCAAGTCATCAAACGAGCTTCTCATAAACGATACATCAAACGAGCTTCTCATAAACAACAAATTAACATGTGTGTGTGTGTGTACTATCTTTGTCGTTCTAATAAGTCAAGAAAGAAGACAAATGGCAATAATTTTCTAAAGCAGAAAAGTATTATAAGCCCATACGCATCCTACTATATAAAACTAGGGATACTTACATTTCTTGAGTTTGGTGGCACGCCATTACATTGCTTGTACATAGGAAAACGGAATTAACTAATCCACATTCCACGCAGTACTCCTTAAAGAACTAAAAAATCCCTATCCACTAGCTTAATAGAGCTATATTACTTTTAGAACTCGTTCACTTCGCGGATTTGAGTTTTCAGTTTTAGAAACTCTCAGAAAATATCACATTTAACTTTTTTTGCTACAGTAAAAAATTATCAGAAAATGTCACATCTCAGCTCGAAAACTCGGATCTGCGAAGTGAACGAAATCTTAGTATAATAAAGTTGACATATATACATATATATATATAGAGAGAGAGAGACAGAAAGAGGGAGAGGGAGGGAGAGAGAGAGAATAGTTTATAGAATATGAGGCATCGTTTGACTCTATATATATTAGTTGATGTACAATATGGCCGAATGATCTTAATTAATAGTTAATTAGTGTAGCTAGCGTGGTTTTTGTCAAAAGCTTCTACTAAAATAATTCATAATTATATATACTAGAACTTGCTTTTGAAGTAGTTTAATCTACTTTAACGTACGTAAAACCTTTCCCAGCAGCTACCTTGCCATGGGAAAATCCAAGTTTTTGGTTTATTCATCTTAGTAATAGGCTTTATTAATATTATATTTATGAGTAGACTGCGAAGTATACATCGTATTAATAGAATAAAATTATGAACTATCAAATCACATTAAAATTATGTCGGATTAAAAAAATATCACACTTTAATTTGATTAATATTTGACGGTTTAGAATTGCGCACAGCAATTTAGATTGTCCATAGAATTCTCCTTGTTAATAATATTTTCCATGCTACACAAGTGAAAGATAAAAAGTGTTCTCATGTGCTCAAAGTGCTTCCCAATCATCTTAAAATTAAAGGCATAGTTCACCCTACAAAATATATATTTTACAGTGGTTATAAAAAGCCCATGGAAAAAAAAGGCAGCACAGAATTTTGATCTCTTGAGTAGGGATAATGGCTGTGAAAGATTCTAATATTAATAGTGATGATTTTAGCCATTTTAAAACCCTCTTTAATCCCTTCTTTAAACCCTTAAAAAAAAAAAAAAAAAAAAAAAAAAAAAACAACTAGTGTAGACGTTTAAGCTTAGTAGATTTCAAGTTGAACTCTAACTAGTTCAGTATAACACCACTATTCTCAAACATGTGACCCGTTGGGAGTTGAAAAAACCCAATTTAAATAATTTGTTAAATTGCCCTTCCTCGTTGAAGTCCTAATTAACTTCATTAATCATGGTCAACTTTTTTTCCTTCTTAAGGAAAAACAAGCAACTTCATATATGGATGGTCAAAATGATTATTCAAGACTTAAAAGATTTGGAAAATCTGCTAATTAAATGAAAAAGATTTGGTAAAAACATTCTTTTCCGGCAGATCCAATTTTATAAATATCTGTACGAATCTTATCTCTCACTAACAATTTCAAAGATAACAATACTAATATATATCTTTAATTAATACATAGGCTGTACCTCGACCTATAGGTCATGTGGGAATTAATGTAAATGTTGTCCTTTACTTGTCGCGAAAACTTTTCATTCATAAATTTCCTGTTATTTTTCTGATAACTAACTTTTATCTTTCATTACGAAAGTTTTTGGAACAAAAATGTTAATGTAAGTAACTTTTATCTCAATAAGTAACTTATTATTATTATTCTTCAACATGCAAATAACTTGAGAAAAGGAAAATATCAATTTCGACATTAACTCCTAAAAGAAAATTTTCTTTCCGTTTCTTGTCTCTAAAAAAGGGGAAGAAAGCTTCCTTACGAAACTACAATGATATTGCATTTTGCAACATAACTTTTAGGGGACATCTAGGGTACGGTGAGCAAATTATCCTACCGGTAGGGTCAAATCAAACGACTGACATCAGATCTCAATGAAGGTTTACATGGTCTTACTCATACCCGATTGTAAATAAATAAATAAATAAAAAGTAATAATTCGTGTCACATGTCGTATTTTGATTTTTTTTTAATTTGTAATCAATCTGAATACAACCTGTGATACGAAATTTTTTAAAAACCGCAACACGAACACAACACGACCACTTTACGGGTTGACACAACACGACACGAAAATTACCTGTGACACAAAATTAACCGGTGAACTCAAAATTGACACGAAAATTGTATACTTTTATTTAGTTTTTTACATATTAAAAATAACTTAAAATTTATAACACGCTAAAATACAATAACATCAATTGAAATTAAGCAAATAATAGTATAAGATTTTGATTATAACTATCATGATATCACAAGTTCATAATAAAATTAAAAATATGTAATGAAAAATATATGTATTTTTTAGTTTTTTATGAGTTTCGTGTCGTGATCAGGTTTGGCAGGTCCAACCCGAAATTGAGTCTTATTTTTTGTGTCAATTTCAGGTCGACTCAATTTTGATTCGAAAATTTTTTTTTCAACCATAACCCTTAAAATTCGTGTCATTTTCGAGTCGTGAGCCATATTATCGACCCTAAGAACAACAATACGCCCAAAAAGTAGAAACAACTTTCAAATTCTATGAATTTTCCTTGCAATTTAAAATTCTTAAGAATTTCATATAACCCCGAAAGCAACTTTCAAATTGTCAAATTTTCTTTACAATCCAAAATTTCTAAGAATCCCAGACAAACCATAAACCACTCTTTAAATTATCAAAATTCCTAAGATGGTTGATTTGGAAACAAGTAAATCATTGGGTGATCTGGAATCATGAAAGAAAATGTGTTTGGGATGATGGTTTTTGTTTTTCTAGTTTTTGGATAGTCAAAACTTGTTCGTTTGCACCTAAATTCAAAAAACAAAATTGAAATCAAATTATAACTTTATTTAAGTTCATGTTCTTTTATAAAATTTAAATTTGAACTTGCGTTTTAATTTAAATTTTAACTTGAGTTTAGGGTTAAAATTTGAGTTCAAGTTTTCCCTTCAACTCAAGTTTCTAAACTCAACATCCAGTTAATGAACAATATTTTGTATACTTTTTAAAACGTTATAACTTTTTCATTTTAATTTCGATTAAGATGATTCTTTTTTTTATGCGTTCACAATAAAGAGACGAAGAAAACCTCACTCATATACCCTATCATCATTGGCTTTTTATTAAAATATTATCTAAATACAAACTCAAGTTTTGTCTCACCTAAATACAAACTCAAAAAGATTCTCACCTCAAATCTTAACTCAAATGTATACAACTAAATACAAACTCAAATTACAACTTTAACTCAAATTATAACTTAAATTCAATTCAAGATCTACACTCAAATCACAAGTAACTCAAAAATGCAACTTAACAACCCTCAAGTGACTCAAGTGTGCAACTTAACAACTCAACGCCAAATCAAACCCAGATTCCGGCAAATCTTGACCCACCCTCCTCTACATCCTCTCTCAGTCCAACTTCCTCGGTATCCTCTCTCTTCTTCGCAGCCAAAACTCCCGACAGTCGCATCTTCGCCCACGAAAAGGCGATCCGAAACCCATATGAGGAGATTGACGGCGCCGCCAAGTTTACTAGGAGATCTCCCTTCTCTCTCTCCCCCTTCATTTTTCTCTTTCCATTGATCTGCTCATTCTCTCTCTCATCGGGATGAATGCCAGTCATCACGAACGCCATGGAGATGGCGAACTCTGTCGATGAAGCTCTCGTCTCTCACCTCTGGTGGTCAACTTTGGTCTCACATGATCTACTCCGGCCTCCTCAAATCCAACCTCCCCTCTTCAAGGCGGTGCTTATTCGCACCTCTCCCATCGATAAGGGCTCTTGATCGTCCTCAACGAAGAACACAACCTCTATTCTTTATTTTTTTTTATTTTTTTATTTTTTTAATTGGTGAAATACAACCTCTGTTCGAACACGGATGATTTTTTTGGTTGAAAGAACATTAATGGGTTAAAGGTAGAGATGAGATATCGGTTAGAGATGAGAGTATAACAAATATGACTATTTTAAGGCCTCGTTCATTTTACCGATTTGAGTTTTTAGTTTTAAGTTTTTACAGTAAAAAGCTCTCAGTAAATATTACATCTTTTTTTTTTTGTTATAATGAAAAACTCTCAGAAAATATCACATCTCAACTTGATTTAAAAACTCACATCCATAAAGTTAACGATACCCAAATATACAAAAAAAAAATTTTGATTAAATGCATTCATCTTTATTTTAGTTTCCATAGGACCAATCAATTTGGACCATTGAC